CGGGACATATCAAGCAACAACATTCTATTAAACTCGGAGTTAGAGGCTTTTGTTTCTGACTTTGGAAATGCTAGACTTTTGGATCCTGATTCATCTAATCATACCACACTTGCTGGCACCTATGGTTATATTGCCCCAGGTTTTTTCTATCAACATAACAACATTCTTCTTTTGTTGTCTTATTTCACTATTTACTATTAAATTGACATGTGAAATGTGTGATATACCTATGCAGAGCTTGCCTATACAATGGTTGTGACTGAGAAATGTGATGTTTATAGCTTTGGGGTTGTAGCATTGGAAGTACTAATGGGAAGGCATCCTAGAGAACTGTTGACATTGTTATCAAAACCATATTCTTTGCAAAATGTGATGCTAAGTGATGTATTGGACACACGTCTATCGCCTCCAAGAAGCAAAAATGTTATCCAAAGTATTGTTGTTGCTGCGATGCTTGCATTGGCTTGCTTGCGTGCGAAACCCAAGTCCAGACCAACAATGAAATATGTGTCTCAACAATTTGTTGCCTGCCAAAAACAGCTTTTGAAGCCTATTTCAACTATTTCTTTATTGGAACTTGTAAGTTCTGATTTGGGGATGGAAAATGGAAGGGAACCTCAATCGGGAATTGTATTAGAACTTGCAAAACTAAATACTGATTTGGGGATGGAAAATGAAAGAGAACCTCATTCAGAAGTTTCATTTCATCTAGATGAGTTCCATGGTTCTTCCTCAAATTAGATTCAATCGAGTTTCCTTGTCCCCTTTTTATTTATTTATTTTTTTTTGAAAAAATAAATCTGTTTGTCTATTTCATGCTTTTCTTTTCTTATTAATATGTTGAAATTGAATACCAACTTGTTTTGTATATATTTCTCAACCAGGACTACATATTTTTTGTACTGAAACACATGAATGCACCAACACAAAGTTCGGCACTCAGCAGAAGAAATTGGCTGTGTTTTTTTTTTAAAAGAATCCAGACTGCATCATGCTGTACCATGGAAACTATTGTCCCCAATTGCTTCAATCAACCTTGATAGCATAAAAGATGTTAGACAAGCAATAATCAGGTTTTGAGGAGTTGCTACATGATAGGAAACATTTGAAGCCATTTTCAATGGAGATGCCACCTTGTGAAGGATTGAAGCATGCATTCTTGGGAGAGTCTTCCAAATTATTGGACAATGGTTGAGACATTATATGGAGCGAGTAGACCAATCTGAGGAGATCATTCTTTTGGCTCCTGTCTACGATGCTTAATCAGGTTTTATCTTTTCATATTATCATTTGTTTTTCTTATTTTCTTTTAGTAGTTTTTCTTTTCTTAGTTTTTTTTAGGTTTCCTTCACTAGTTATTACATTTTAGGGTTGCCTTTGTTTCTTTTATGCCAGTGAGGACACTATCTCATTTAGGTTGGGGGTGGTAGCATTGCATGCACATTTTAAGCACATTTTTTATATACATTCTCTTCAAAAAAAAAAAAAA